CTCCAGGTCTGAACGGCTTGGGCTTGAGCTCTGATCGTGGAGCTGCCTTTCTTCTCAGAAAGGCCAAAAGCACCATCAAAGCGTGCTCCATTCAGACTCGGCCAAACGGCTGCAAACGGTGCCCCAGTGAAACCGAAGCTGCGGCAAATAACGGCAATTATTGTAGAGTATTCCCAAGGTTTCATCTTAATACAAAACAACTGACCAAACAGTCCGGTTACTTCTTTTGTATTAAAAAAACCCCTCAACCCCAGTCACGTGTAATCCAAAAAGGTTAATATTTTATTAGATTTCAGGCGATTTCCAGCAGAGTTGCGCTTTTGCATCTTTACAGCCTTCTCTGTTTACGCGCCACACAATAAATTCGCCATTGGAGGGTTCTGGGTTTGACTGGGGCTTAGCTGAGTCTCGCTCTGCTGGCTTCTACCGCAAAACCGAAATACCTGGGGAAAAAATGTATAAAAACTATGCACAAGCTATGACTACCTTTTGGCATAAAAGCAATTAAACTCACACGCGTCATCTATTTCCTAAAAGACACTCAACAAAGCAGGTGAGGCACCTCCAATGCTCACCAAACAAGGCCAACATGGGGAAAAGCCCCTTAGCGAGGGGCTGGAAGATGTGACATGGAACCTACAAGAGATCCAGACCCTCCTGGGTCCTTAGGAGCCGGCGTTTCAGCGATACTGAACTTGACCCGTAACGTCTTTAAAATTTCCGCTCACTTGAGGGTCAACACAGTAAAGCAATGAGCTGATCGCTTAAAAGCGATTAAGGATAAAAGCAAAAAGAAATATATTTTTGATGGAAAAAAAAGCCAAGACAGACTGTTCTTGCAGATCTGTTTTGGTCAGTGCAGCTGGCACAGGGATTTGGGCAAAGCCTGGATTTCTTGGCATTCCTTCTGGAAAGCTGCAAGGAGAAGAGCAAAATGAACCAGATTTAGTTGTTGGCCTCTTTTTTTCTTTTTTCTAGAAGGGGAAGAAAATGATAATGTGTTCAGTAGAAATGAATGGGAACGTGCAAGTGTGCTCGGCGGTCATGGACCTCAGCTCTTTGTTTTGTGGGAAAAGACACACAGGACACCAAGTCTGTCCGCAAGCCCTCTGCCACCCATAACATTCATCCCAGAGAGGATTCATCCCAGAGAGGTTGGACCATACCTGGCAGCACCCCAACCCATTGCTCCCACAGGTGAAAGGTGGGGCTGAGCATGTTGGAAAAGTCCTTCTCCAGCATCTTGGTGATACGGTCCTGCTGTGGCAGAGGACGACAGCATCAGATGCCAGATGATGTCTTATGAAGTTCAACAAGGGCAAGTGTAGGGTACTGCATCTGGGGAGGAATAACCCCCTGCACCCGTACAGGTTGGGGCTGACCTGCTGGAGAGCAGCTCTGTGGAGAGGGACCTGGGAGTCCTGGGGGACAACAGGATGCCCACGAGCCAGCAATGTGCCCTGGTGGCCAAGAAGGCCAGTGGCATCCTGGGGGGCATCAAGCAGAGTGTGGCCAGCAGGGCGAGGGAGGTCATCCTCCCCCTCTGCTCTGCCCTGGGGAGGCCACATCTGGAGTGCTGTGTCCAGTTCGGGGCTCCCCGGGTCAAGAAGGACAGGGAACTGCTGGAGAGGGTCCAGCAAAGGGCTACGGAGATGCTGAGGGGAGTGGAGCATCTCTCTGCTGAGGAAAGGCTGAGGGACGTGGGGCTGTTCAGTCTGGAGGAGAGAAGACTGAGGGGGATCTTCTCAACGCTGATCAATCCTTCAAGGGAGGTGCCGGGGGATGGGGACAGTCTGTTTCCAGTGGTGCCCAGTGACAGGACAAGAGGGACCGGGCACAAAGGTGACCATGGGCAGTTCCATCTCCACCTGAGGAGGGCCTTCTCTGCTGTGAGGGCGGCAGAGCAGTGGCACAGGCTGCCCAGAGAGGTGGGGGAGTCTCCCCCTCTGGAGCCATCCCAAACCCGCCTGGACGCCGTCCTGTGCCACTGCTGGAGGTGCCCCTGCTCTGGCGGGGGGGTTGGACCAGATGATCTCCAGAGGGACCTTCCAACCCTCACCAGTCTGGGAGTCTGTGACAGTCTGTGACATTAAGCTCCAGGAACTCCCATTTTGCCCTATTATGTGCTGCAACTGCCAAGGTTGTAACGCTATTGATGGCAGCTCAGACCTGACCATACCCAAAAAACCTGCTGGGGAAGTATCAAAACTGGTCTTCCATACCCAAAGCAGATGGGGAGTTTATTAGGTGAGTCTACATCCCACCTAAACCCTCCCAGAGATTGACCATAATGGGTGCACATCTTGCACTGCTTTGCATGGCCCACACCAAGGCCGAGATCAGTGGTGGTTTGGGGTCAGCTCAGATCCTTCTGGTCCTCTGTGCCTCAGTTTCCCCATGGGCACAGTGGGGGACAAACTCCTCTCACCTTTCCGGGGGGCTGCAGTTGCTCTTGCCCACTGTGGGCTGAGCTGGTCAGGAATTGGGCAGGGGGAGTGAAAGCCGTGGAGACCCACTGGAAATGGGACACGGACCACCTCACGCACCCACCTCCTGCCCCAGGGGCAAGACTTCCAGGAGGAACCCCCCCACCCCACCCTAAGCCAAGTGCACCCGGGGGATGTTTCTGCCCCAGTCCCCCCAGGGGATGCTCCTGCCCTGGGCCCCCTAGGGGATGCTCCTGTCCCGACGCCCCCTGCCCAGCTCCCCCAGGGGATGCTCCTGTCCCAGTTCCCCGAGGGGATACTCCGGTCCCAGTCCCCCCAAGGGATGCTCCTGCCCCTACTCCCCCGGGGAATGCTCTTCTCCCGGTTCCCTGAAGAATGCTCCTGCTGAGGTCCCCCTGCCCGGTCCCCCCCAAAGGATGCTCCTGTCCCGGTCCCCTCCGGGGATGCTCCTGTCCCGACTCCTCCTGCCCGCCACCCCCGGGGGATGATCCTGTAC